CCGGATTTGGTTTGTTTGATTTGAGAGCAGCGCTGACCAAATATTAATGTGCTCTTATTACCTGCGACTGAATACGTTTGCCCGGCGATTCGTTAAGTCCGGACCGTATTTGACTTCCATAAACCGCTCCCTGGTAGCTCTATTTCATGCGTGATCAGCGCAAGGCGAGCTGAAATGTCATGACCAATCTACCAAGGCGCGTTTCCAAGCCGTCCGTTTAGAATTCGTAATGATGCCAGTATTCTTGTACACCAATATCTACCTACGTGATTCGCCTTGTCACAACAACCTAAATGATGGCATCCGCGCTTCACTCCAGTAGTCAACCCCTCGCAAAACATTTCGCTTTTTTCGTGTCCAGACCTTTTCCGCCTTGGCACTACTTACTACAAGGGGCTAGCTAGCTCAACCATCCCCTGGATTCACCACAGTCGCCCGAGACGAATTCTTGCGCGACTCATCCTCACCCACCCTGACTTCTGCAACAGTAGTTCGGTGCATGTCGGGCATTAAGAAATGCATAGCAGTGTTGAGAGAGGGCGCCTTTGCGGGGAGGGGTGATACGGCCGTTGTGGAGTTTCGCATTCAACTCGTTTTTTCCATGACTGCTAAAAAAAAAAAAATGGTCAAGAGGCTTGGCCTTGTAGTTTGCTCGGCAGATAGCCATGTGGCGATGGCTGCGCCTACTGGGGATCGGACCAGACCCGACCCAGAACAAATAGCAGACCCCCACGGCATAATGGTTGGCGCAGGTATAGCCATGCTCCGCTCTCCGTTGGTCCGAGGTAGCCGTGTAAAGCATGCATCGTGACCAAGGCAAAAAATGGAGGAACCCCCACCCCCACCCCCCTCCCAAAAAAAAATTTCATAATAAAAATTAAATCCGGCGGCCAATTTTGCCTGACGGTGGTGCTCCCATAACAAATCGAAGCCCTATTCTTGTGGCGGAAGGAGCTACCAACAGACATGGCATATTGAAAAGCAACGTTCTGGGGCCAGAACTGAATCGGCCAACAAGCCCGTCAATGCCTGCCTCGAGGCTGGTTGAGTCACGTTTCCAGCTCGTACATGGGGTGACTTGCAAACACTTGCTGCCTTATTAGTCACCAACTCATCGCGCCAAGTATGATGCCCGCCCTGACCATTACCTCTATGCATGTGCATCTTTAGCTATGTCTCATCCGTTGTCACATTCCCAACTATTCCGTCCTCGCCGTGATAGTCCACCAAGCAACATGTACCAGCGGCATAATCAAGCCAAGCACAGCATACGGGATGGGTGCAATAAACTACTTTGCGCAGGATGAATTGCACATCCAAACTGTCCTAATCCAGTTGCAATTTGAAAACACTTTGTTTATCCTGGTGAGTCGCGACATCAAGGCCATGGGTTGGAGGCGTTTTCATGACAGTGTATTGTGAGCGTCGTGAAGAGATAATGCCACCTTACTGGGGGTGATTCCAGGGTCATTTTTAGTCTTGCGACTGCTGAGGCTACTCCTGTGAAATCAGGACGCACACTCCCAGCCACGACAAGGACCAATATTCGACAAGCGATGAAAGCGGAATGGGCCCAAGCCTGGGCAAACGACAAACACGGGCGCGACCTTTTCAACTTCGGCGTCCGGCCCAGCAAAGCAACACTCTCCACACACATCAGAACACACAGAGCCATCAGCACAGTCATCACTCAAATGCGCACCGGAAAGATCGGCCTCAGTGCATATCTGCACGGAATCAATAAGGCAGATTCAG